GGGGCACTACTCTAGGTGAAGAAGTCACCACTCCCCACCACAATCTATCCCAGTTATGTCATAGCATGGATCACTATCCAAAAGGATCTCTCTTATTTATAACCCTGTGGTCTGTCTTCCCACACTCAGTGCAAAAAGAGTAGTGGTTATGGATTTTTCACTGTTGGACCCCCCCAGTGTTTAGAAGAGGGCCTAGCTTGATATAGGTGTTCGCTAAATGTTTGTTATATAAATGGTTGGGTGGAGCTCCCTCCTTCCCCTCAGTTGTCCAGGAAACTCAGGGACTATCCTTCTCACTAGTACACAATGCTGAAATCTAGCGCTATGCGGTGTGCAGAAGGTGCACCGTGGTCTCTGCTCAGGCTTCAGCAGATCTTCAAGGGAGACGAAGCCCATTCCCTCTATTCTTAGCTGATCTAAAGGTGCCTCTTCTTGTGGGTTCCTGTGGTTACAATTCCTAGTGCTCTGTTCTTCCAGTTCCCATATACAGCTAGCTCCCAGATGGCTAGCCAATCCCAGAAATACTGCGTTTTAAAAGTTGCTGTGGATTCTACTACCCCAGAGACCCAAAGACCTCTGTGCTAATGGAAGAAAGCCCCTGTGAATCCAGGTCAATTTCCTGTCACTTTCTTGAAAAGAGGGAAAGAGAGAGAGGTAGGGGGGAGAAGGAAAAATGAAAAAGGACAAATTGAATTTCTTTGAGGTTATCCTTCTGAACAAACAGTGATTTATTCATTTTTCATTTAATAAATGTTTATTGATTATCAGCTATACACCAGATACTCTTCTAAGGCACATTATTTTATAATTGTCATCATCTCTATTGTCTTATTTCTTATGAGTCTATATTAGATTGTGAATTTTGTAAGAGCAGAGATAGTCTTTTCATTGTGTTAAGTGTCCAGTAATTGTCTATTGCTTGAATCAATGAGAGGAGAGAGTTAATGAAAGACCTGGGAAAGATTTGCCCGGTTACATTTATATTTAAATGAAATTATATTTAAATGAAAACAAATAACAGTGATTGCTCTTTAAATCATACTATGTTATTACATTAGAATACATTATAATTACATAGAATACATTAGAATACATACCACCTACCACATACATTTTGTTTTCTTTTGATTTTTGTCCATTTATATGCATATTTGTACACCCTTATAATTTTAATGTACCTTCCATGTATTCTTTTGCCTTTCCACTTAACATTAATGACATATTTGTATGTTTTTACGTTATTTTACCTTCATGGCTTTAAGAAGTGTACTCAAGCTGGGGCGCCTCAGTGGCTCAGTAGGTTAGGCAGCTGACTCTTCGATTTCAGCTCAGGTCATGATCTCAGGATCCTGGGGTCAGGTTCCACGCTTAGTGGGGAGTCTGCTTGAGAATTTTCTCTGCATCTCCCTCTGCTCTCTCTCTCTCAAATAAATACACCTTTTTAAAAGATTATTTATTTATTTATTTATTTGACAGAGAGAGAGAGCACATAAGCAGGGGGAGCAGCTGAGGGAGAGAGAGGAGCTGCAGGACTTGATCCCAGGACCCTGGGATCACGACCTGAGCTGAAGGCAGCCGCTTAACTGACTGAGCCACTCAGGCGCCCTAAATAAGCCTTTTTTAAAAAAGAAGTATACTCAAGCCCCAAATAATTCTTTTGAAAATATTTAAAGTAATGTAAGAATATTAAATCAAGTAGAATGTAAATAATGCTATTTTTATAAGCTCTAAGACCTAGCACCAATTAAGAGTATGAATAAAAAATGGAGTTACTGCATATTCAAAGTCTCATCCACCTTGACATTTCCCTGATAGGTTTAATCACTCACCTGTTGTTTCACCAAACATTTATTGAGTGACTATTAAGTGCCAGGTGGGCTAGGCAGTGAGTGGAACAGTGTTATTATCTGTGTCAGTTTTTAGTAATTTCAGAATGTGTTTGGATAAGCAACGGCTAAGTGTGTGGGTCACAAATACTTAATGGCACATAAGTGAGCTACCCTCTCAGGGCCTTATCTACACTCTGCCAGAGTGTATGTGCATCCCGGGAAACCTCACTTGAGAGAATAGAATGTGCCTGATACCACCCACATTCTTCTTCTACTTGACCATCTTGTCTGAAATGTAGTCACCTTAATCGCTATTTATGCTAAATTCCCACAATTTAAATATCAGGTAATACCAGCATATGGTGTTTTGGCCCTAAAGAGCCTTGTAAATATCCAAATACACAATTTTTATCTTTATGGCAAGCCTGCCTCTGATATTTATGAAATCAGAGGTAAGAGTACAAATGGAGACCAGTGTACTATGCTAAATTGTCAGTGTTAGAACACTAAAAAAAGGAAAATCTGTGCTTGATACCATGTTGTTATGCAAAACAATACTCTGTTATGCAAGAATCTATTGCATTCATGCTGGGAGGAAAAATTGAACAAGTTAACTAATTTGTCTTCTCTCTTACTTAAGCACTTCTGCTGCTCAGATTCTGCCTGAACTCCAAGAGTTTATCTCTGATATGGGCAGCTATCCCACCCACAGATCAGGAGTGGCAAAGGCACCTATTTGTTTTTTAATAAATTAATGTGTTTGTAATATGTAAGGTCCTTTAAAGCATGGGTCTCGGGTAAGGCTTTTCCTCCCGAGGGCTAAGCTGGGTAGTGCCTAGGGACACTAGGATTTTATTTATTTATTT